TGTTTGAAAAAATACTATTGAAGAGAATGTTACCAATTTTAGACGAACTTTCCATCATTCCTGAATACCAATTCGGATTCAGGAGGGGTCATGGGACCCCTGAGCAATGTCACAGGGTTATTAATGATATAGTTTCGGCATTTGAAAACAAAAAATACTGCACTGCTGCATTTCTTGATATTCAACAAGCGTTCGATCGAGTCTGGCACAAAGGTTTGTTGTACAAGATAAAGAAATGGCTACCTGCTCCGTACTATTTATTAATCAAATCATATCTGGCTGGAAGATGCTTTTACGTGCAGCAGAAAACCGATAGTTCATCACTACTTCTCATCAACTCAGGCGTCCCACAAGGAAGCGTATTGGGACCAATTCTCTACACCCTATATACGGCCGACATGCCAGTTACAAACAACTGCACTGTTGCATATGCTGATGATACAGCCGTTTTAGCCACAAGCACATCTATAAATGAAGCTTCTGAACTCCTGCAGAGTGAGCTAAGCCTAATTGAAGACTGGTTCCTTCGATGGAAAATTAGAATAAACTCCCTGAAATCCGTCCAAATAACGTTTTCATTAAGACCAGGTAACTGCCCAAATGTTACACTTAACGGCTCACCAATTCCACAAAGTACCTGTGTGAAGTATCTCGGCTTGCATCTCGACCGCAGATTAACATGGAAAAACCACATTAAAGCAAAATGTCAACACTAAAAATGTCCTGGCTGATAAGTCGAAAATCAGAAACCACTTTGGAAAACAAAATTCGCCTCTACAAATCCATACTGAAGCCTGTTTGGACCTACGCTATACAGCTTTGGGGAACTGCTAGCAACTCAAATATTGAGATACTTCAGCGTTACTAATCAAAAACTTTGCGACAAATTGTCAATGCTCCGTTTTACGTATCTAATGCAAACATCCACAAAGATCTGAATATTCCAACCATTAAAGAAGAAATAAAGAAAACTAGTAAGAAATACATCGACAGACTCCACAACCACGAAAATAATTTAGCCTTAAGTCTATTAGACAATAGCCTAACAGTAAGAAGACTGAGAAGATACCACATTCTCGATCTCCCCAATAGATAAATCCAATAAACTGAAAAGATGTTATATATAATAGCAGGGCTCATTGGGAAACTGCTATTTCTGTTAATTGAATATTAATTATACAATTTACTTATTGTTTAAAAACAGATTGTAAATATAAAGAGAGAGAAAAAAAAATATATATATTTCATTTCAAAATTACTCACATAAGAAAACTCCGAAAGCGTAGAAATTTTGGTTTTTATTTTCTTTAAATTTATAACAAATAATACGGCTGTTTATCACAACGGAAATTGACTTATTAAAAGGGGCAAAAGTCTGAAACAATTTGATTTTTGGATAAAAGAAGGCCTTTCTGTTCGGGAGGAGCAACTCGACTTTTCCCCGAATTGTGAATCGCCTTTTGACACATGCTGCATATGCACTCACTTGTTCACGGATATCATCATTGTAGTGAAAGTCGAAACGAAGCAAAACGAAACTGAGCTGTTGACATTGTCCACCATTGTCGTCAGACCGGACAGGGAAACACTCACATATCTCTCTCCAGCTCTGCTTATTTTTCTGCTTGGCTTTTTCTTTTACTGGGGCTCTGCCTCAGTTCCTCCCACCAATTTCCCACCCCTCATTTCGTTGGTTGAGCAAACAGCACGGCGACTCAGACAGCCCCTGGCCGACACATATTTCTCGTGGACCAACTCGAAGAAATCCTGCTGAAAGTAGCCAAGCTCTTGGTAGTTTGAGTCCTTCTGACCGCGTCGTATTTGCTTATACCTCAGCCTGAACTCTCGCCACACCAACTGCAACTGCAGCCACTTTTTGGTAATAAAGTCCAACGTTTTACGCTGGAACGGTGCCTTCTTGTAGTTGGAAATGGCATGGAAAATGAAATTTGCATTGATTTGTTGGTCCAGCGCCAATTGATCCAAGGCCACCAGCGACCCACTACCATCCCACCAACCCGTGCAGGATTACTGGCCCCACCCAGTTTCAATGCCACAATGTTGGGCATAATTTCTGCCTGTTTTTTACTGTCACTTGTTTTAATTTATTTTCATTCTTTCAGAAAGTTTTAAGTTTATATGTTTTGTCCGCCCACGCACTTCCACTGGGAAGCTTCCAACGGTAAATGCCGCTGAACCGCTGATTCTGCAGCACTTTTTCCCAACTAGTGGTTTTTTACCTATTTTCAGAGATTGATAAATACCTGGGCTCAAAAATACTTGGCGAATGCGTGTATTTATTTATAGGTAACTTTCTGCCCAGCGATTGTTGCAATTGCCTTTCATCTGGTAAGCCCCAGCTGACGGACGATTCACGTGAGTGGCGTTGACTTTTTTAAGTCATTAAGTCTTATTTCAGGTGTTCGTAAACAACTCTTTTTTGAGTTCAATTGGGAAAAATTAGGTGTATTCTTTTAGCAGTAGTTTTTAAAATTACACTGCTCGGCAAAATTTAACTTTTTTTCCCTCGAGGATCAAGAATATATACACGTTATGGGGTCAAAAACGTTTCCTTCTGCAACGTTACATACAATATACCCTATTTCGAAAACCGAATTTGATTTCTTATTCGATTTTTAAGCGATTTTCGAGCGGGAGGGAAGGCCATAAGCTGTCCACAGTTGTCTGTCGGGTTTCTTGAGGGACACTTAATTAAATAGCAGAAAACTTGTTAGCGGGATATATAATTTTGTGTTAACCAAATAATACACTAAACAGCTAATAAAAACGAAGGCCACACAAAAAACAACAAAACTAATTGAATAAAAATTGAGAGCCACGAATAAAACACCAAATCTCCATCGGTCTTGTCCATTTTTTTATACGAGTATGTAATTTTGAGGAAGAAGATTTATTTCGATTTATGCAAATATACTTCCAGAAAATATAACCGTTCGATAGGAGTTTACCATCGTATACTTTTAGGTTTAATTTCATATTTAAATTTAAATTATAAATAAATAAAAAGCGTTTAAACAATCCAGACATATCAATTATTTTTTACAATTTTTCCTAAATTCTTCATTCTTGTGTCACGCTTTTGCTTAATCTTACACAATCTGCCTGGCCCTGACCCATTGTTAGGTCCGAAAGTAAAAAACTTAAATTGGTGTACATTAAATTCCCAGCCCCCAGTCCACCTGCCCCAAAAGCCATACCATAGACTGGCATTTTAGAAACCATCTAAAATAGGGGGCCTGTCCAGACCGCGCTCAGCCAAGCGGGGCACAAGAAGTGTGAGATGAAGACGAGTATCGGGCATAAAAATGTTTAATGAATAATTCTCTTACACATCAAAGACCAAGCAACAGGGCCCCACTGTCTCATTCTGAGCCACTCAAAAAAGATGTGTCAGCCCTTTCGGTAGAGTATTAAATGAGTACCACTTTTTTTCGAGGCTTTACGCCCACATTAATACGATTTATGAAGTCGCGGAGCTTCCGACATTGACTTGGTCCTTGCCATCCAGGGTCCTTGCCATCCAGGGTCCTTGGAGGTGTCTCAACCAAAAATAAGGAAAACAGTGGGGTGGGGGGAGGGGAGGACTTGCAGGAAGACGGTGAGGATTGCTGTACCGCGCTGTAAATATTTGTAAATACACCAACTCTTGCCCGACCACCGACCGGCATTTTTTTGCGTTTTGTGTTGTGTTGTGTTCGGCTGTTTGTTTTCTATTTTTCTCTTTCTTTGCATCTTTGCCTCAGTATTTGTGTGTTTTTTGCAGCTAATATAAAGTTGATGTGTTGCTGCTGTGTAGAATGTTTTGTATCCTCCTTTCTATAAAAGTAAACTTCTTTTTGGCGCCTAATAGCGCCAATTTTTGTTCCCTCTTTTTAGGCTCAGGAGGAGTCATGGTGATGAAGTGATAGTTCTAAGTGATAGTATGAACCTCATATGTTGTGTTGTTTTCTGTCGCTGTTGCTCTATTGACATTTCATTGGAAAATGTTTTTATTCATTGAAACGCGTGTGTGCCTTTAATTGTCAGGTAACACTACCCGACTCGATTTTTCGATTAAACGAAGACCAAAGCACATGTACATAAAAATAAGAGAACACAATATATAATTTTTTCGACTTTTCCAGAGTTTTAAAAATAAAAAGTCTTGCAAATCCCGCACAGAATTCCATATTTTTGCATTTCAAAGCTTAATATTTAACAGACGGTACGCTAAATCCACAAAGTGTTTGGGTCCACTTTTTAGCTGCATCAACGAGCTTTCAGATAAACAAAGTTAGGAGGAAAAACACACCGCTACCTCTGAAAAACCCGTTACAAAAAAACACCAGCCAGAAAAAAGCATAGTTCTTAAAAAAATTTAAATGCCCGATATCTTTAAAAAAGATAGATTTTGTCGAGTAGTGAAATTAGTTTTTTTAGTTTTGTAAGAGTTTCTTATCAGTACACTTGATAGCTTAGTTGGAACTATGTGAACAAGTAGTATTATGTGATATATCTTAAAATCCGATTTGCAATAAAATTCCAGCAAAACTTTGTTCCCGTGATAACTATTCTTTTCATTTATATATTGACAGTGGACTATTTGTAAAAATCCCAAACTTTTGGCATTTGTGTAGTCTAAAAGACTAGATTTCAAAACTACACCTTCAAACAAGCATTCGTGCAAATTTGTAGAAGCATAGCTGTATTTTTTGATTAATTCAAAAAATTTGGGGTTTTTATTCAAAGTGCGTCTTGTTTGACGGTCTCAGACACTATAAGAGCTATAGTCACCAAATTTGACTGTGACTCATGTGATGTCACAGTGAATCAAGTTTGTTTCAAAGTTTCGACACGCCCCCTTCCGATCCCACAAAGAGCAATTTTGAAGGAAAGAGAAGATAACTGAATAGGTATTGTTTTTAGGAGGGCGCTTCCTTTCGCTGAAGAATTGTTGGTATAATTATGTATGTAATTGTATGTGTATGATGAAGCAAGAATTTGCACAATGTATGAATGTAGATTCGAATGTAATGTGTACCGGAATGTACGCGGGTGGGTAGCGAACTAATCTAAGCTTAGCGGCTGGCTGCCCGCCAGCTCTCGAGCGCTAGGAAAGAAGGAGAGCGCGAGAGCGTAAGGAGTGAGAGCGAGCTCCGGCTGTTAATAACAGCCCGCTGCTAACTCGCTGCTGCTACTTTCAACAAGTTCAACAACTTTTTGACAGCTCGGAGCCTATCTTCGGTCCTTAGGCGGAGAAATCGGCGACACTTCCGTAGAGGATGGAATTCAGAGCAGACTCGGCATTGGTGGGACTCAGTACCTCGGGAACGTCTGCTCTGAGTGGTGCGGTCGACTTGCGACCGAGACGCCATGTATGCATGCGGAAGGCTAGGACGAGTTGAGGAAGTCGAAGAAGCATTAGTAATTTGCTTAACGGAACGGAGTATGGGCACATTTTATAATTCCATCTATGGTGGTAAGCTCTTGAACTTTGAACAGTGTTGATCCTATAATCTTTGATTTTATTACTTCGATTGCTAAAAATTCATCAGGACCTTTGTTAGGTTAAGTAATTTAATCGATGTTATGAATCGTTGCAAATGAAGTTGCTGTCCATTGAATTCGGGTATGGTGTGAGATATATCTTTGATATATGCCCGTTGGGCAACTGGGTCGTCTTCCATTCTAATGTGTCTTGTTTCTATCACACTATTCAATGATTCTGAATAAGAAAAATCTTGCTCTTGATATTGTGGTACTGTTAACACAGCTAGGATCGTTAGATCGTGTAGATCTTTTTCTTCCACATTTGTCTCTTGATAAATTGATTCAACCTCTTGGTCAAATTCTTGAATTTGGCTTGTTCCAGGCTGTTCTATGTCTACGGTCAATGGAGTATTCAAAACTGTTGGAATTTAAATATCCAAATTGAATTTCCTTTGAATTAATATCAAATTTGATCGAAGTATGATCAAAAATGTAGTAGTAGTGAAGTAGGATACCTGCGACCAATTTTGTTGTCGACTCGGCTATTGATGCTGATCAAGAATATATATACTTTATCAGGTCGGAAACGCTTCCTTCTGTGAGTTACATACAACCGTTATTATCACAAATACAATATACCCTATTTACTCTTTGAGTGAAAAGAAAATAGTGAAAAGAGTGACCTTCAAAGTTGCGTACAAGAAACTTTCATAGATGGCGCCAATTTCGAAAAATCTGATGTGAAACCTATCGGTCATTATTGCACAGAATGTGCAGACCATTGGACCATCAAAGCTGCGTACAAGAAATTTTTATAGATGGCGCCACTTTCGAAAAATCTGATGTGAAACCTAGCGGTCATTATTGCACAGAATGTGCAGGGAAAAAGTAACAATTTTATTTCTGTTTTAAATATCTCATAAAAGTGGAAAATACGATTAACTGATCCAATTTTTTTGATGCATTTTATTTAGTAGGCTTTTTACTACGTGTTCTGTAATGTGAACGATATCTAGTGGTTGGCGATGTCTTCTACATCTAGATGTAGTCCTGAGTGCCGGGTATAAAAGTTGTGACGCGTAAGAAGCGTCTCGCACGTCCCTTCTCGGTCTAATACAGAGCGTTAAAAACCGAGTCTTGGTTAAAAGTCGGAAGAGGGCAGAGGCAGGGGCCGAGTGAAGCAGAAGGAGAGTGTGAATGAGAGAATGTGAAAAGAACAACAAGAGCTGCGGGACAGGGTGGGTTTAGCCACTGGAAATTAATTTCGTCATTCTGGCTATAATAATGATCCGATCGGATCCCAATTTGATGATCTGATAGATATGGACATTCCCTACGGAATGGCGTTTTTAGTTTTCTCTTATCTTCAAAATTGTAGATTTATGAGGTTTTCGCCCTTTTGAGGGGGCGGAAGGGGGCGTGTCTCATTTTTAAAATACACTGGTTTCAGTGTGAGCATACAGCAGTCTGGACCCAAAATTTGGTGGCTCTAGCTCTTATAGTCTCTGAGAACTAGCCGACAAACAAGACGGACAGACGGACATACGGACAGACAGACATGGCTCTATCGACTCGTCTATTGATGCTGATCAAGAATATATATACTTTATGGGGTCGGAAACGCTTCCTTCTGTGCGTTACATACAACCGTTATTCCCCACAAATACAATATACCCTATTTGCTCGAGTACCGGGT